GATGATGACATTACTTGGTAGAACGACTATATGTATTGTTGAAATCAAGCAAGAATGGATGGAAATACCATTGGAGAATGTCCTACAGTCTTTTGAAACTATAGCGTGGGAGAAAGTTAATCTTTTAGCTGGACAATGATCTCGAACACAAGGACAAATGAACACTAGGGTGACACATGAAAAAAGGTGAATGCCCTACAATTGACCCCATCCCTGCCCAGTTGAGAAATAGTGGCATTTTTTGAAAACTGAGATTGGTCAATCCTACTAAACTCTGTTCAGAGGAATGGGTCAAAGTCATATCTAGACAGCCTGTCACATACATATGCCAAAAGACAGTTGTTGTCACAAATTATTATCATTTAGGGATTGATTAATTAATTTTGAGTTTCAGTACCTAAAATATTATTGTACATGAATTTTAGGCTCAATAAGAGAACTAGAACGCAGAATATCATCTATAACTATAACATTTGGCAACTTTTGTTTACGGACCAATTCTCACTATTAACTAGTTGCTTATTAGCATGCATATCGGCTGTTTATTACTACTTATAAAGCACATATTCTGCATGACCATTTTTTAGATCCCTTAACCCCATACCTAAATTTAACAACTACCTATACTAACTTTTAACCAATTTAAGAGTTTATTGAGGCAAAAGTTGTTGTTAATAGTGAGAACTGATCCCCAGACTAAAGTGTGACCAAACATTTTATATACAATTACAATTAAACACAAAATTAATTTGGCCTCATTTAAGTAAGGAAAGCATAAACCTTTCATTTCAGAGCCACCTGAATTCATTTAAAGATTAAATTATAACTGCAACATGAACAAATCTTGAAATCAACATAATGATAGGTCTATATTTCTAGGACATATTATGGACATGAATAGTTCTGTCATATGTGTCTTCAGGAGTGGATCAGTCATACACGCACACAATATACAAAGCTTGTGACTGTCAGCCATGAACTTTTAAACCAGTTCATTTTAGCCCTGCTTGCATTCGTTTTCTCATCCTGTTTGGTTGAGTTTGTTTTCTGACCAGATTTTTGGGCCATCTCTGAACAGCTACCACACATCTTACTCACAGCTAAAAGATCATAGTCCATAAAGTGTGGTCTCACGTGCTCACCTGTTTGTCCATGTGTAGTTTACATGAAAAAAAAGAATCAATGCTCACTTTCAGTCTTTTTTTGTAAAAATGTTTTTATTAGAATTAATTATTTTTATAATGTAATGATTATTGAAAATAATGGTCTTCAATTGTTCAGTGGAAAAATGTCAGTGGACCTAATTATGTTTTTTTTTCTCAGAGTTCATCTTTTATGCCTCAAGAAATTGACCTTTGTCTTGCCATCTCACTTCATTGACTCATTTGTTCCCTCCAAAATGTCATGTGAAAACAAAATTTGTACACTTAACACCAACTGCAAAATTATAATATTAAAATGCTTAAGTTAAACACATCTGTTCACGGATCAGCATCAATACATTTATTCAGCATCTGTGCAATCCACCATCAATTCAGCCAGTTCAGTAGTTATATAGGTCATTCCTATAGGTTCCTGTAGATTTTGTTTGTCTTTCTGCTCAAGCATAAAAGATGTAGGTTTAATTCCATTTGTGGGCACCTAAAGAACTGGAGAGTAACTAAGATCACAATCCTGCCCTGTCACCATTGTGCCTTTGACAGCACGGCATGAGATTATTTCAGGGGAGGGCCCTGCATTTACTGTACTACAAGTTGCTTTGTAAGCATCTACTAAATGACAATAAACTATTAACTATTAAACTTGCTTTCTATCAAGTCACCTTTAATTATATAGCACTTTATACAATGCAGATTTGTCACAGTAATAAACAAAGAAATAAAAGAATCAGTGATGCAAATTTAAAGGGATAGTTCACCCAAAAAATAAAATTAGCCCATTATTTACTCACCCTCAAGCCATCCTAGGCGTATATGACTTCTTTCTTTCAGATGAATCCAATCGGAGTTATATTAAAAATTGTCTTTGATCTTCCAAGCTGTTTAATGGCAGTCAGCGGCTGTTGCAGTGCTTCAGTCCAAAAGAAGTGAAATAAAGCGTATCCATTTATAAGAAAAAGTGCCTCACACGGCTCCGGGGGGTGAACAAAGGCCTCCTGTAGCGAATCGATGTGTTTTTTTGTAAGAAAAATATCCATATTCAAAACTTAATAATCACTTTAATCTAGCTTGCGCCAACAGCTGTACACGGAAGCAGTTCCGGGCGGATGACGTATGAGTTCAGCATTGGTCACGCGCCGGTGAGTCTCGGGAAAACCAACGTTTGTTAACAGGATCAAAGGAAGCAAAGTTTCCTTACTTTAGCAAAGCGGGGGGTGAACAAAGGCCTCCTGTAGCGAATCGATGCGTTTTTGTACGAAAAATATCCATATTCAAAACTTAATAATTACTTTAATCTAGCTTGCGCCAACAGCTGTACACGGAAGCAGTTCCGGGCGGATGACGTATGAGTTCAGCGTTGGTCACGCGCCGGTGAGTCTCGGGAAAACCAACGTTTGTTAACAGGATCAAAGGAAGCAAAGTTTCCTTACTTTAGCAAAGTAAAACCAGTCTCCTCTTGGCTTATATCAAAATCCTTTGAATCGACATTCTTTTTCACAAATCCTCGTTTTGTACTTATAATTCGTGACCATTGTTTTGATCTCTCCCCTGGGCTTCCGTGTTAGCTGATCGGTGACCTACGCTAGCCCTGTGACTATTCTTGTGTTTTGCCCGCCATATACCTGTTTGCCAGTGTTTTGACCCTGCCTGTTTACCACGTCTCTTTAATAAAGCCTGCAGATGGATCCACATGTCCCACGTCTTGTCAGCCCCGTTACACATACATCATCTGCCCGGAACTGCTTCCGTTTATTAAAGTGATTATTACGTTTTAAATATGGCTATTTTTCTTACAAAAATGCATCATTCGCTACAGGAGGCCTTTGTTCACCCCCCGAAGCCGTGTGAGACACTTTTTATTGTGCTTTATTTCACTTCTTTTGGACTGAAGCACTGCAGCACCCGCTGACTGCCATTAAACAGCTTGGAAGACCAACACCATTTCTGGGTGAACTAACCCTTTAAGTGGGAAAATTAAATTCTGCTGTAAAGCAACCCAAGACAAGTGTCATTATTCAGCTCAAATTCATGTATTAGAGCACTTGAAATATTTTGAGAGAATTGTTTTTTTCCCTTTATTCAGTTCCATCACACAAAGGCACAATCTCAAAGCATGCAAAACAGAACAACAGCAACAACAAAAACGCAGAATTAATACAAACATATATATGAAGTCATATATAAATAAAATTAAAATAACAGGATAAAAATAAATAAAATAAATAATAATACATACATATATACATTAGGGCAGTTACATAATTTTGAAAAGCTTTAGAATTTGTATTGTTTTTATTAGCTTCTTATTTTGTGATCTCATATGAGGAAGGGTTTCAAAGTATATTTTAAGATCAGTGTTACAAAATGTAATATATGATGGTTTCTTTTGAATTACTTTTGACTTATGAATATAAAACTTTGCTAAGATAATTAACAGATTAATAATATAAATATGTTTATCAGAAAAAGATAGGTTTTGATAAAGTAAAATATCATGAGGTTCTAAATTAAGGGCTTTGTTTAATTTTTTTGTTATGTCTATTTTAAAGTCAACCCAAAATGAAATAGAAAAAATAAATCTTCAATATCTTCAACAGATACATTACAAAACGTACATTTATCACAAACACTATGAATATATCTGCTAACAACTGCATTTACAGGATAATATCTGTGAATAATTTTGTAAAGTTCTTCTTTTACTTTATTAGAAATTACATATTTATATGGTAACATCCAAATGCTGCGATTTTGAGAGAAATTAAGTGGTGTGCAAATCAATCAAACGCCCCGGATCAGAGAATGAAGCAGCAAAATAAAATGTATACAAATAACTTCTGTACACTATTACAATAATTACATTAATTTTGCAAAGTTTTGATCCAGTAGGTCTTCCTAAATGTCTATTTTAAAGTCAACCCAAAATGAAATAGAAAAAATAAATCTTCAATATCTTCAACAGATACATTACAAAACGTACATTTATCACAAACACTATGAATATATCTGCTAACAACTGCATTTACAGGATAATATCTGTGAATAATTTTGTAAAGTTCTTCTTTTACTTTATTAGAAATTACATATTTATATGGTAACATCCAAATGCTGTGATTTTGAGAGAAATTAAGTGGTGTGCAAATCAATCAAACGCCCCGGATCAGAGAATGAAGCAGCAAAATAAAATGTATACAAATAACTTCTGTACACTATTACAATAATTACATTAATTTTGACATTTTAACCCTTGGTCACATCCTGGCTTGACCCATATTGCAGCTTTGAAGCTTTGAAAAGGAACTTTTAATTGAGAATGTGGAAATCTTCAATCTACAATTGACTGCGGAAAAAAAATAAGAAGAACTGGTCATATCAGTATAGATAATAATCCAAAACCCCATGCAGACTCTGAGCATTGACAGTTCAAAATTTAACAAAGATCAGCACAGCATGTCTTGGAACAGACCTTGATTGTTATATGTTAAACCATTATGTTTTTTTAAAGGGTTTTGCAATGCATTTATTACACAACCACAAAGAATTCATTTTAGCCAAGCACACTTCACTACACCCCACTTTAGATTTGATATTACTGGACATAACTTTTCCACAAAGTTTATCATAAATCACCTTCAGGTCTGTTTGTAAGCACTCCTGCCCTGATAAATATTAGTATGCTGTGAGGATGATTTCTAGGATGATCTCCACCCGAAAGAAAACCTTCCTATGACAGAGCTGAGCGCACAAGGGGTTAACAGAAAGTTTCTGAAAGTTTGGATCTCCTCCCCCCAAACAACACCCCCTGGAATGGTCTGCCTCACTGGTTCACATGACACGTGTGTGTATGTGTGTACGTTTGGTAGTGAGAGAGTGAGTAAAGCTTAGGGTGTGTGTTTTCTTTCTGCCATATATAGGGGCAAACTTACTTCGAGACGAGGTTGTGTGTTATAGTCTGTGATCTATCTGCAAACCTCTCTTTCTTTCTATCATTCTTTCTTCTATCCCCTCGGGACTATAAGGAGCTCTGCATACTTGGCCTGCTTTAGCCAAAGTTGGAGGGAAATTATTGAGCACTTGATAGATTATTTTGTCCTGTTGATTTCGAAGATCTGTTCAGTTGCTGGCAAACATGGAAGGAATGAATGACGCTCATGATGACGGATCCTTCATGTTCACCTCAGAGTCTGTGGGAGAAGGGCATCCAGGTGATTTTCTATCTGAACTTTTACATTTAAATTTTCTACATTTTGTAGTATGTACTATACAGATTTTGCATTCTGGACCTGGGTGCTTGCATGGAGAAAACCCCTTAAGACATGTACCTATAGACTAATTCACCTGCCTCGTCAAGTCATTGGAGCATATAGAAGTGGTGAGCTGGTTTAGCAACAGTTTGTACAGAAGTAAGCTGCTTAAGCAACAGTTCAATGGGGTTCATTCACACTTTCAGTAGCAAAAATTCCACAGTACCATGTGCTTAGCTGGTATTTCATGGAGTGAAAGTGTAGTAGACAAAAATAGTCAATTAGGGGTCATGACTTTAACATATGTGTTAAATTACTACATATCACTTGGAGGCTTTTCTCAGTTACATATTTACTATGCCATTTATTTCATAATGAACATACTGATACAGTGAATGATTTGATTATGACACTTTCCCATGGCTGTCTAGTGAGTCAATCATCGGTGCACCTGTTTGCCAACAGATTTTGCTTCAGTAGTTATTTCTGTTTCTTGTGGGAACTTGCCAGACCTCACATTTCTTATCAACCATATTGCGGTTCTCTCATGTCATGCTGCAATGCCAAAGTGATGTAGACATTTTCATATGCTGCACTCCTGAAAAATGCTAAGTCAGTTTGATTTGCATAGTGCATTTCACAATACATATTTTAAAGCTTCTTTCAAACTTAGTGACTCTTAATACGTTTTAATGACTTTTAATCTAATCCGGTCTGGTTCCTCCTACACAAATTTTGCAACACTGCAAACTAACCTGTCTGGTTCACATGAACACAATTTTGAGAGTCTTACTAAACATCTCCCATAAACACAAATTTCAGCAGATCAATCAATAGGTGCGCATGTGCAAGATGCAAAAAAATCTATTCCATAATGCTCCAGACTGAAGCGATCTAATAGATTTGACTTGTTTGTCTCATATTATCTGAGATGTTGTTTTGGACAGCGTATTTTCTGATGTAACTCACCTAAACTGTTGCCTCAGCTAGCAGCCCAATTATAGACTGAGTGAATGATTCTGAAAGGAGAGGACCACTGGTATTGTCCTCCAGCTGCTCAGCTGGGGTTTTGCTTTGTTGGGATTACTGTGTCCTACAGGCTTACTATAAGACAGGCATTAAACTCTTAAACTGAAACTTTCTGGTGTTATAACACTAAACCCACACTTGAACCTTCATCTGAGTCATTACATAACTTTGTTTCATAATGGTGTGATTTCGTTAATAGATAAAATCTGTGACCAAATCAGTGATGCAGTTCTTGATGCACACTTGAAGCAGGACCCGGATGCCAAAGTGGCCTGTGGTGAGTGAATATAGTTTTAATCACAAACAAAATAACCATGTAAAGGCTTTCTGTATAAACATGACTGTCAATATATTGTTTGAAAGTTTATAGTCCAACAGCGGGTCACTTATCTTGACTCTTGTTCAGTTATAGAGTGACCATTTCTTGTACTCTTTAGTGCAGACTAAAGTTTAAGGGCATTTAAATGGATAACATCTCCATTTCTAATCTAGCAATGGATTATAAAATGGCAACTTTCCTTTGTCATGGGTCATTTGACTAATTAAGGTTGTTTTAATCATCAGAAACTGTTTGTAAGACTGGTATGGTACTTCTCTGTGGTGAGATCACATCTCGGGCCAACGTTGACTACCAGAAGATTGTGCGAGACACCATTAAACACATTGGTTACGACAACTCTGAAAAAGGTCAGGATCAATACATACTTTGATTTTCAGCATACCGCCTAGTACTTCAGATCTCTACTAACTCATCCACCATATATGTCCACTCTTTGCTCTTCCATGTGTTTAGGTTTCGACTATAAAACCTGCAATGTGCTGGTGGCTCTCGAGCAGCAGTCTCCTGATATAGCGCAGGGTGTCCACGTTGACAGACATGAGGAAGATATTGGAGCTGGAGACCAGGTTCGAACACAACAGATGTGTAAAAATGTGTTTGAGCACATAGTTTGAGACAAACATCCTCATATTGCATTTCCGTTGTGCCTTAGGGGCTCATGTTTGGCTACGCCACTGATGAGACGGAGGAGTGCATGCCACTCACCATTGTCCTCGCTCACAAACTCAATGCCAAAATGGCTGAGCTGCGGCGGGATGGCACCATCCCATGGCTCCGCCCAGACTCAAAAACTCAGGTCAGCAAAATAAGACTGAAAAAACTAAATATTATGTTTAGAGTAAAAAATGTTGTGACGTTATTTTTGCACACTTACAATCACAAGTTGATATAATTGAGTCTTTAGAGCCACAATGTGCAGGTTCAAAGCCCCTGACTGACATTGGCCATGCTATCTTATCAGCCGAGTGTTCATTGAACCAACACATTGGCCAATAGGTGTGATGGCTGTTGAGCAAGATAGTGACCATGAGGCGGTCTCTTTTAATGCTTGAGAGAAAATGACCCTCAGCATGACATCCAGCGCCCCCGATCCTTACTTTTCCCAGTGGGACAGGGGACACGGCTGTGCACCTTCCATCTCAGGAGCATGCCAGCAACTCAAGCTGGGCAGCTCTCAGGAAGCTGAAACCTCTGGTCTATTTTAGAATTCTGCCATTTTCAGACCATACAGCAGGAAATGTCCTTCACATTCCCTATATCAACTGAAATGATGACTTCAGATGTTTTCCAAAACTTCAGGTCACTGTGCACTACAAGCAGGAGAATGGCGCTGTGATTCCTTTGCGTGTCCACACAGTGGTCATCTCCGTCCAACATGACGACTACATTTCACTGGAGGAGCAGCAGCGTATTCTGAAAGAGAAGGTCATCAAAGCTGTGGTGCCAGCAAAATATCTTGACGATAAGACTGTCTACCATCTGCAGCCAAGTGGACGCTTTGTCATCGGAGGGCCACAGGTGAGCACTTTCTATGGTTCAAACGGTTGTATGAAACACTGTTGTATATAATGAATTTTAAAGGTTTAATTCACTTAAAAAAGAAAATCAGTGATTACATTTTCACCCTTATGTTGTTTTAAACCTTTATGCAGTATTTTTTTTCTACAGAATGAATTTTTTTGAGAAATCTTTGTGCAGCTTTATCAAAAAAACAAAAACAAACACAAAGTAGTTAGTATTATTTCTGCACTATGTTCCAAGTCTTGTTAAGCAATACAAGGAATACTATTCCTTGTGTGAGAAAATGAAATCATTATTAATTGAAAAGTTTCACCTACTGTATGTCAAAGCTGTCGTGCCAATGTCATTGACACCACAACAGCACTGGTTCTCATGGTGAGCCATTTCAAATCTGTGCACAAACACAGACTACACACAAACTTCTATGAGGTGAAGAGCTGTTTCATAATTCTTCACAAAATTCTCCCTTTGTTTTTTCACAGAAAAACATAACTGACTAGTTTGGAATTACATTAGGATGACAGAATTCTCATTTTTGGTGAACTATTGTTTAAACCAGGGCTATTCAATTGGCGGGCAAATCCGGCCCGCCATTCATCTTCATCCGGCCCGAGGGAAGAGTACGCGCAGGTCGCACATTATTTTACACTAATTAGTTTGTCCACAAGGTGGCAACACTGGCCGAGCCGTTGTTTTACAGTCGCAAAAGAAAGGGATGAGAGAAGCACAACAATAACCGGAGACCGCAACATCAATAAATGGCAGCGCTGACAAGCGCTTGTGTGAGGGGGTTATGACATATCCACAACTTCTGTCGAGAAATAGCGCCGACACTGGATGAAGATGATTATCAAATGGAGTATAGTCTGAAAGACTGAGCGTTCAGCTGTATTCTGAGCCGCTTCAGCGCGCCAGTAGCGCTTCAACAGACACAAAACACAAACAATTATGTCAAAATGCTGGGTTTTGGCAAGTGACCTCGTAAACACAGTCTTAAATTAGTTATAAAATCCTAAATGACCATAAAGAGTTGGGAGAAAATCAGATGTGTGTCAGTTACGCGTCATGTGCATCAGGTTTTAAAGTGACAGCGCTCATTTTAGGAGGGCGTGGTTGACTCTTAAATTTTATAAAGAATATCTCTTTGGATTTGAGACTTTTTTAAAGTGAAATCTGATGAAGTCTGTCATATTGATGTAAATCACAGAACAAAAGAAAAAGAAATCACTCGACTGCTCTAGTCGCTGATTAAGTTTAGTAGCTTGAATAAAGATTAATCTATATAGTTTATGCATATACAATTTATAGTTTATGTGAAGATTGTTTTAAGTTCACTTAACTTAAAAGTAAAAAAAATTTTTTTGTAAATGTTAAAAATAATGGCTTTCAATTATACTGTAACGTTGAATTGCTATAATTAATGGCTCAAATTAAGGGGAAAATGCATTTAATAGAGACATCAGTAGCAGTATTGCATTATCAAAAATACTGGCCATGGTTAATAATAGACTACTCAGTAAAAAGATGCCATTAAACACATATTTAAAAAGATACCCTCTTTATATTGTTTCTACATTAATTTGGAGGTTCAATGTGAAATTATAACAATATAAATATATTAATATGCAGTTAATCACAATTAATTACAGAAAAATATGTGAATAATTAGTTGTTTTTTTTATTTAAATCGATTCACAGACAGCACTAATGTTAACCTTTTATAGATGTTGGTGTTGATAATATTAGTTCATTTTACTGCTGAATATGCATTTAAATTTAATTTCAAATTTTATAGGCCCCTCAGAAAGAGATTGGGACGGCCACCCACCCCCTTGGCCCCCTTCAAAATTTCAATTCGATAATCCGGCCCTCAAATGAAACTAATTGAATAGCCCTGGTTTAAACCATATAAAATCTTTGCTTTTCAGGGAGATGCTGGTGTCACAGGTAGGAAGATTATTGTGGACACATATGGTGGATGGGGGGCTCACGGTGGTGGAGCATTCTCTGGAAAGGACTACACCAAGGTGGACCGCTCTGCTGCCTATGCTGCACGCTGGGTGGCTAAGTCTCTGGTGAAGGCCAAACTGTGCAGAAGAGTGTTGGTTCAGGTAAGACAAAAGTGTAAACATCTTGAATAAAAAACTGTGAACAATGCATAAGGTTGTGTCTAGACAAAAAAAAAATGGATCCACATTATTGACCAATTTGATCTGATATGGATTAAAACTGGAATGGATGTGCTGGTGTCTGGAGCAGGGTCATGAATATTTAATGTGTTCTGTAGGTGTCTTACGCCATTGGAGTCGCCTACCCTCTCTCAATCTCCCTTTTCACCTACGGCTCATCAGAAAAAACAGAGAAGGAGTTGCTACAGATTGTCAACAAGAACTTTGACCTCCGACCAGGTGTCATTGTTAGGTAACAATTAATAAGATAATACCTTCTTATTATGTTCTTCTACTTTAGGGAAGGAAAACAACATTTTCTGTTTTTCAGCCTTAAAAACACTGGTTAAGTTCAGTACTTTATGTGGGTGAGTTGAAAATGGAGGGAAACAATATTTACGTGGAATTTAGTTCACTAAAATAAGGGGGAATTAAGGGTTATTCTCTGCTATTACATCGGTTCAAAAGTGTCATGTAATGTTATACCCATCCAATCAGGTTTACTTTGACTAAATTAGCAGCTACTTTTAGTAGACGAAAATAACATTTTAGTCAATGAGTAAGCACAAAATAAAACTACATTAACATTTTCTATATTAAAGTAAATATAAATATTTAATATGAACAGCAAGTGAAAACTGTCCCCTTGAAATGAGGACACTATTGTAATACAATATTGTGAATTCTTTACACTTTAGCATGTAACTTGGTTCAAGTTCACATGTTTGCACAATTTTGGGCAGATTCAACTGTATGATATTACAAATTTTTACAATATTGTGTGTGTGTGTGTGTGTGTAACTGGTATTCCCTTCCAAATGTCCCCACAAGGATAGTAATACCAGTAATGTTTTTGGATTTTTTAATTATTATTATTATTATTAGTCCCCATGAGGAAAACAGCTTATAAATCATACTAAATGAGGTTTTTTGAAAATCTAAAAATGCAAAAAAAATTCTGTGAGGGCTAGGTTTAGGATTAAGGGGCAGAAAAAAAGTTTGTACGGTAGATTATAAAAACCATTACACCTATTGGAATTCCCCATAAAACATGAACCAGTGTGTGTACACATCTTAAAAATATGTGACACTGGACCACAAGTTTTTTGAAATTGAGATTTATATATATAAATAAGCTTTTCATTGATGTATGTTTTGTTAGTATAGGACAGTATTTGGCCGAGATACAACTATTTGAAAATCTGGAATCTGAGGGTGCAAAAAATCTAAATACTGACAAAATCGCTTTTAAAGTTGTCCATATGAAGTTCTTAGCAATGCATATTACTAATCAAAATGTTTTGATATATTTACAGTAGGAAATTTACTAAATATCTTCATTAAACATGATATTTACTTAATACCCGAATGATTTTTGGCATAAAAGAAAAATCAATAATTCTGACCCATACAATGTATTTTTGGCTATTGCTAGACATATACCCGTGCTACTTAAGACTGGTTTTGTGATCCAGGGTCATATATGTGACATGGGAAAAAAAAAATCCTAAGAAATACACTGATTACAATCCTGCTCAAGCGTCATAGTAGGCTAATATATGTAAACATGACATTTCCCGATATTTCCTCCAGGGGAAGTATCGCTACCATCAATAGCCACCTAAGTCAGTGGTTCCCAACCCTGGTCCTGGAGGCACCCCAACACTGCACATTTTGCATGTCTCCTTTCTCTGACACATCAATTTCAGGTCTTGGAGTCTCTACTAATGTGCTGATGATCTGAATCAGGTGTTTTTGATTAAGGAGACATGCAAAACATGCAGTGTTGGGGTGCCTCCAGGACCAGGGTTGGAAACCACTGGTCTAAATGGCGATTCTACTATGTATTAAGCGTCTTTTAAAAAGTAACGATGCACATAAATTAAGTACATTTTATTTAATTAATTACAGTTATGGTGAAAGTAGGATTCAGACAAGGGCTGTTTGGTGGAAAGCTAACAAACTCAATTTCTACTTGACAGGGACCTGAACCTGAAGAGACCGATCTACCAGAGCACCGCCTGCTACGGTCATTTTGGCCGATCAGAGTTCCCCTGGGAGATGGCCAAGAGTCTCAAGGTTTAAACTGAGAGGTGCAGTCATTCAGTCGCTCTTTCCTCCAGCGCTCCTCTCTCAGCTTATTTTAATTCTCTTCCCGCATATGCTACATTTCAGATTAGACGAATATATACTGTAAATGTCAAGATTGATAAATTAATTAATTAATTAATTAAATAATATACCATAATTAATATTAATTATTAAATAATTTTTTTTATTTAGAAGTCTATCGTGAAAAGATCCCTCACAACTGTTTCACCGCATCAGCACTCATGACAATCTATCATTCCTTCAGTGTTGCCAACTAATTTTCAGGGGAAGTTGCTAAAGGCAGATCGATTTGTTGCTAAAAGTTGCTAAACGGCGTTGTGATGTCATTGCGTGATGACGTCATTGCATAACCATGACACAAAACAGAGTTTTTACGTAGAATACACGAGATTACTCAAATCTCTACGAAAAATATATTTTTTAATGTTATTTGTTCATATAATATTATAAACATAAAATATTTTAATTTGTACAAGAAACATAAGTAACATCTTTATGATCGGATTTTTTTTTACAACATTGAATTATTGAAGTTACACATTTTATGTATTTTCTAATTAACTAGTAAAACGGCACATTCTGAACAGTTTTTCTTACAGTGAACCTAACTGAACAACAATTATATATACAAGCTAATAACACGCGGTATCATAAATGTGCATTTATTATTGACCAATTGGAACTAGCAACTTAATGCACATTTGATGTTTGTACTGTTAGGCATCTTTCTCCAGCTCTCTCCAGGTTGATGTGCTGCTCGGCTGGCTAGCTGTTCAATGGTTTCCTCTTTTTGTGTAATTTAGATGAAAATATGTGCATTTATTTATCATTTGAGTCACTTTACAGAAGTTGCTAAAAGTTGGCAAAAACTTTTTCAAAATAGCTAAATTTGTTGCTAGGCGCTTTTTGAAAAAAAAAAAGTTGCTAGGGTAGTCTGAAAAGTTGCTAAATCTAGCAACAAAATTGCTAAGTTGGCAACACTGCATTCCTTAAGGCTAAAGTGCATCCTAGCCTATACCAGCTTAGAATATATAGAGAAAACCTTATAATAATACCATAGTTTGATTACCTTAAAAAGTGTATGTACTGTGACTCTGAGGTGCTATCAAAACATCACTCTGTCAGCAGCAACACTGGCGCAAGTTTTGGGCGGGAATATCTGTTTTTCCCATCAACAGAGGAGAGTTCGGGAAAACTGCAGTGCAATTTTGTTTGGTGCCACTAGTGCCTCAGAAAAACACATTTCAGCTTTATACTTAAAATGATTTAAATCATAATTAGTCAGTTTTTACTACATTGTAATTTCTATTTCTATCTTTTTCATGAGCCAAATTCACTATTTAGTCAGTTTTTCATCGTGGCTGTAACAAGTTACAGCAGTGTGTTGCAAAGAGTTATAAGCATATTGTGGACCATTGGGAGCTTTAGGTTTTATAAGTTATACAATCTGATAAACATATTCCTTGCATCATATATTTACAGTCTCAAAAGGGTCTAATTTGTGTGCTTTTTTTTGCATCATAAGAACATTAGCTTTTTATGCTTCATTTGTAAAATTCATTATCTCATTAATGTTTGATAATGGCAGAGGGATATTATGAGAATATTGTTGTTTACGTGTACAGATCCTGTGCTGGTCTTGCATTAATTGTCACCCCTGGAGAGTGAGCATATGTGTGTATGTATGTAGCCTACTTCAGTTATGAACAAAGCCAGATTATGTTGCACACTTGAAATGTGTGTGAAAGCCACTCATTGCTTTTCTTTAGACTTCTGGGAGTTCAACAGAGGCATTAACCCCTAAAAACACTATAAACCATCTTCTTCTTACTGTTTTCTTTTAGATTTTCAACTTTTGTCTTTAAGATTGAATTAAGGATTTGACATGTAAATAATTGTGAATAATTAAATTGTGGAAAATTCTGGTGTCAGTGTGGATGTCTTTAAACACAATGAATGACTCATTTGTTGGTTAATATGCCAACCAATCATTCCATTATGTGCAAATAATATGTTTACTACTACACAGTTCAGCTTTTGGTCACCAAACACTTGATAAGTCAAACAAGAATGACCAAATCCAATCTGTTTAAATAAACTCAAAGGCCATGGTGACCACTAACAGGAATTGTGTGGCACAGTCTACATGACTCACAGAAGTTCATTCACAGAAATGAGAGTGAAAGCTTACCGAGTGTAATGTCTGATTCTGCTTTATTTCCATACATTTTAAGGCAAATTTACAGCACCATCAAACACATCCTGCCATAAAACTCCAAAACATTTCTCCAATCTTTGGTTGAAACAAAGGCACGTGAAGGTATTTTTGCCATCTGGTATGTCATTAAATGCTGATGTCTTGTTGAATGATGACAGCAGGTTTTCCGCAATACAGCTATTGACTGTCAAGAGTCCAAGATTAAGCAAACTAATAGATAATACATGAAGGAGCACAAGTCTAGGCAAAAGGTAATGCAGAAAAAATGACTCTTTTAACTGTTTTTTAAAGGGGTCATCGGATGCTAAATTCACTTTTGTTGTTGTTTGAACATAAATGTGTTGGAAGTGTGTGTAAACATCCATCCTATAATGATAAAAATCCACCCAGTGTTTTTTTTTTTTAAATCCCTCTTTTAAAATCCTCTTTCTCACATCAGGCTGTTCTGAGATTCCTATCAGAATGACGTAGATCTGCACAGGCCCCTCCCACAATAGTTGATTGAAGACAAGGCCGTCTTACCTTAGACCCGCCCTGAGTGAGCTGTCATGAGCCAGCCATTGTATGGACTCCGGTGCAGGGGAAGACAAGAATGTCTCAGATTAAGCCATTGAGGTGTTTTGTTGTTGGATGTAATAATGAACATAGCAGTCGTCATTCACTCCCGACATCTGAGCCGCTGAAGACGCAGAGGATTAACCTTACTTTCGTTTTGAAGGGAATGCGCCGATACCCCCGATCTGCCTAAATGGGTCTATGTTCGCGCGAATCATTCGTGATCGAGCTTCATCTACACAAGAAGTGAGTATAAGGTTTTTTATGAATCTTTGCAAATCGCCTAACCTAATATGTGCTAGTTAGCAAGTTTCGCGGCTAAAGTAAACAGTACTGCTCGTCACCCCACAGAAGAGAGGGGCGGGATGAGCAGAGCTCATTAGCATTTAAAGCAACATGGACTAGAACGACTTGCTGAAAACAGAGCTAATTTTGACAAGGTAAAAAGGGTGTTTTTTACACTACTATTGAGAAATTTTAACCAAAGTATGTTATAGACTTTTCATTAAGACCCTAAAGAATCATATCAGCTTATATCAAATGGGCATCCGATGACCCCTTTAAAGGACTAGTCAAAAAGGACTTTTTCACCCTCATGTTGACATTTTTATTTATTTTTGCCCCTGTGGAACAAAAAATTTGAATTTTTGCAAACTTTTGAAGATGCTGGTTGTTTGCATGTTACTTTAAAAATGTATCTCATGTCTGTTAAGCTCCAAAATGCACAAAAACAGTGTACTGGTGTGTGACTTGTTTGCTGTATTTCAGTTCTTCTAGCCATGTGATCATTTTATGTGAGAAACAAAATTAAATTTAATACATTTTTCACAGAAAATCCTCCCTTATTCTGCACTGATCAAATCTCATATTTGATGGCACTGATGGGAGTGATACATCACTTTCTTGAGATTTCATAGCTTCAGCAAAGGGGAAGATTATCAGTGAAACTTTTATGGTGGTCATTACTGTGAAGGAATAGAGCTGCACAACAATGCTTAAAATTTCTTCTTTTGACTTCCACAGGAAACATAACAGCATTTGGATTTGAAACAAAATGAAAGTGAGTATATAGTGAATTTTTTACGGGGTTAACACAGTATTGCAAGATGCAATTGAAGCAAAATAAAGCTCTCTATGAAGGAACTGTTATAACCAAGTAACGGAAATGGTAAAACGTTCACTTATATCTGGTGGATCGATGCAGTCTTGAATGCAGAGAGAAGATATGTGACAGCAAAAGACAGATCTGAAATTCCTGAGCGAAGAGAATTAGTAAACTGAAATGACACGAAATATGTTTTCAGGATGGCACTGGTAGGATCAATCGGTGATAGGTATAAATATGGCTCTTATCCTGACAAATGAAATGACAAAACTCCCTTGATATTAATTGAGGAACAATACGATTTTTTTTGTCATACATGAAAACATTTGACCAATGTAAACCAAATTGCATCTGTTTTTTAAAACAAAATCAATTCTGAACTTGCAGTCCTGCTGCAAGTCATTTTGTCTGCAAAAAACAGCTCACAGAGACCTACTGTAATCTAAGAACACCTAAACTAGTCACCCTTTACATTAAAGGGCAGCTTCTGAGAAAACTCAGTCTTTCATTTCAAGACACTTCCTTGTAACCAACTCCCATAAACCCCCAACACACACACAACAATTCCCACAGTGACAGAAAGAGGGAAACCTATGATCACACTGACCTCAGGACAAACTCTCTTCTCAATTACATTTGGTCACAATGTACAGCAATACTCATAGACTCTAACATGACATCTGGAATGGCACCAATTACTGGCGACTTAATGTGATAAGCTTATGCGCCTGTTTCACGAGAGGTTTTTGCTGATCTCGTTCAGCTTAGTTGTTTACAACAAGCATAATATTTGCTGCATATCAAAAAAAATACATGCCTTATATATTCAATTAAGGCAGTTAGACTATGGACATACATTTCTGTTAAATATCGGTATCTGGTTTTTGGTATAAGGCACATCGGTAATGACAATCATCTGAAATATACATTTCAGACAGCATACGATGATTAAGGCAAAATGAACCACCATGATCAGTTAACAGACAGCAGAGATATGTGACAATAAAATGTTATTTAGCCATCTCTGCCTTTGAAAAAAACCTAAAGGCACAGAAAGCATCAGCATTTTGGGATCCATTGTCTGAAATTGTCTGAAATTGTCTGAAATAGGCACAATAGCATTTGTTTTGAGGCACTATGTTAAAATGCTTGAGTGTTGATGGTTGCAAAAGGCTTCGGTTTAGTTGACTACACCATTGTTGTAGCAGGTTTCACCAATGTA